AACAAAAAACCGGAATGGCCATGGCGAATACAAATTTAAGAAACTATCATTCATTGTATCTGCTAGCACTGGAATTTCCAACTGGGTTTTTTCGACCATCTCATGTGCAGCGGCCAGACGATCAGATAATGTGCGATGCTCTTTGACATCAACAATGTTACCAATAGGCCAAACATCGGAAGCATGAGATTCTCGAATTTGTATCAAATAAAAATCCACTTGCGCTTTATATCGTGTATATATATCATTAAGTACGTGAGATATGTATCGATATAAGGGACAAGTATAGGATCCACCGAGAAGAACAAGAGGTCTTCCTGATTTACAAAGTGAACGTAGTGAAACTATATTAGATAAATTGGTGTTACCATTAACAACCACTATTTTAAACATTAAAGGGTTGAGAGGAACTAATGGACAATCAGGCGCCGGCATTCCTTCAACGAGATTTCCAATATTAGCAATATTGTTGCGAACATATACTTGAGTTGTGTGGAACTCGGGATCATCTATAAAACGAGAAAAGGAATTAAGACAAGATATGAATCGTCAGAAAGAAAGAAAAAAAGAGTGTATTTCTTTACTCGGATAAAGCTGCGGCGCACGTCGCAATAATTGCACTGCCTCATCTGAGTATCCAAACTCTCGAACCAACTCATACTGCATCTGATCAGTAACATCCATCCAATCCATACCCAATGTAGGATTATTACCAACTTCATAATACTTTTTTTGCATTTCAGGTGAAAACCTTCGGCGTTCTTCCTCACGTAACAGAGTCAATAATTTCTCTTTCGTGTCAGGTAATATTGGGAAGATGGTAACAGAAGCAGATAAGATATCTTTGTGAGTCGCCTTTGGATCTATGGGATCCGTGAGTTTCAGAAAACGATGTTGCACATTATGAAGTAGGTTGGACATCGTGATGCAATCAAAGCACAAGTCATAATCGAGGCATTCTGAACATTTATACCTATCAATGGTATGGAAGTAGACATTATTAAGCTCATTAAATTCGGTGGATATTGACCTCACGCCTTTCCATTCGTGTTTACCACAATAATCACAGACAATACCAGTATGAATTCCATTCTTTAGACGTTCTTCAGGTGTTAGCATATATTGTGTAAGTGATGGCAATGCATCAAATTCTTGTCGACCACTGGTTTCTTGGAGCATCCCACCACGTAATCTAAGTACAAGATGGAGTATAGACTCTCTTATAATATAATAATCAGACAAGCAGCGCCCGTCTTCTAGTTGCCTGCCATTATAAATAAGACGTTGTTGATCAGGAGGGATTCCTTCTTTTTCTTGGATCTTTAATTTAAGATCGTCAATGCTTGTTTTTGATTCTACCGACAGAGTTATCGTCTTTCCAGTCAATGATTTCACATGTATTTGACCACTAAAATGATTATATAAGGATAGATGCAATGTGGACTCGTTAGTAACCTCACAAGACATTAATCTTAACCCTGGATGCAGAATTTTGTTAGCAAAAGTGAATTGAAGTTGATGCAAGGAGGTGTCCTCTTTTTCATCAATCATTTGTCTGACTTGATCGATGGTGAAATTTCTTTCTACTTCTAGCTTTATTATTTTTTTGCCCATCAAATTGACACTGATTGTCATTTTTTTATATTCTAAACGCAATACAGAACCCTCTTTGATATTGTATGATGACAAGAATACATGATCACGCATTAAACCATTAAAAACAAGGTATTGTTGGTGATAGGGAATGCCTTCTTTATCCTGGATCATTCTCTTAATAGCCTCGACTTTGTAATCTCTCTTTACTCTCAGTTCTATGATTTTTCCGTCCATTAATTTTATAAAAATCTTTATTTTCTTGTATCGTAGATTCAGTGTGAATCCATTTTTAATATTGTAATACGATAATGTATTCCGGTCACGTAATTCCTCACTTAAAAAAAAAGAGATTGTTGATCTAGAGGGATGCCTTCTTTGTCTTGAATCTTTTCTTTAATCTGTCCAATTGTTTCTTTTGTTTCCGCTTCTAGGTTTATAATTAATCCGTCGTTTTTTTTCACGAAAATCATTGATTTAATCTCTAAGTAAATCATAGACTCATTTTTGATTTCGTAAGATGACAGGGTGCAATAATCATCTAATTCGTTTCCATTAAATGTAATGCGTTGCATTATTGGGGGAATGTTTTTTTTATCCTTAATCATTAATTTAATTTTATGGATGGTTTCATCTGACGTTGAGTCATGTTTTATTGTTTCTCCGGTCAATGCTCTTATGTAAATTAGCGTTTCTTTAGAAGTCATATATAATGTCGATCCCTTTTGTATATTGTAATATGACAGAGTATAATTATCTATCAATTCAACGTCATTAAAAGTAAGCATTTGCTTTTGCGGGGAAATTCCTACTAAATCATGGATCATCTCCTTAATTTGAATAATTGTATCACTCCAGTATACTTTTAGTTCCGTTTTTCCTGTAGGCGTCTTCAGATAGATTGTCATCAAACTTCTTGGCTTATCTGGTGTAAAATTAGACTCCCTTTTATATAATCTCTTTGAATTTATACCTTCATTATATAAAAGCTCAATCAGATCTCCTTCCTAAAGTTACAAATTCCAATTAAAAAAAAAAATCAGTATTAACTCTCTTCGAACGATACGAACACTTCGTAATTTCTTTGGTTTTTAAAAATATCTACAAATATCTGACCTTAATTCCCAGTTCCTTAAATGTATCTGAAAGCTGAATATCCTTGTCATTGTATACAAGCACATAGGAAAAGATGCCGCTCCCGCATCCTATGCACTTTTGGTAATTCTCCAACAATAACTCTCCAGTAGTATGCGCAGTTACATTTGCAACAAGCACAGAACCCAGGCCTTTATTTTCTAGACGTATGGAAAAAATGGAAACGGAATCTAGTAAAGAGGTCAAAAGCATTTGAGATGACAAAAATAATTTTTTTTTCAAAAAAGACCTTTGTACAGTCTATATACAGTATGAAGGAACTGGGTGTTGCGTCTTTGATAAAACTTCACTGTGCCACAGTTTATAATTAGTGTTGCAATTGTTGCATCTTTTGGCATAATAAAGGAACCCGTTTAACAAGAAATATAGACTTGAATTGTGTGACATTGAATACAAACTAAAACGAATTGCACGTGTTAAAGAACTTCTAGGAACAATATTCTGGTATGTAGCAAGCTAACTGTTTCTGTCGTTAAAATTTGTGTAACAGATTAATCAAACAAAATACGACGCCGTGCTACTTTAAAAAAGTAATAAAAAAGAATGTTTGTAATTTAACTTTCTTTACGAACATCACGGTCCTTATTTTAATTCGTGGGATTTTCAACACCACTATGACTGATGGTTTTAACTCTTTCATTGTGACAATATACAATCACAAACCCAAGGTTTATATTTTTGAGGTCGTCTGCTTCACATTATTTCAAACAATAACAATAAACAAATGTACTGTATTTTGTTTGTAAAGGACCAGGGTCTCCCACTCGCATATTCATTATTTATGTCTCGAGGCATGGATTAAACCTAACTCGATTCTCTGACCTAATTTAAAGAAGGATTGCTAATTTAGATATTAGCCGGAAGATAATTTGGAGTTAGGCTTATCTGACTTGCGTTAGCGACAGAATTGTTGCTTAACGATAGCAGAAGACAAAATAAATCAGCATTTTTGTTACAATCTATTGTTATAAGAATGATTGAGGCTAGGGCTTAAAATGACATCCAAACAATCACGCATAAGGAGATTTCCAAAAAAATAATTGATTTTCAACTTTGTTATTTTTATTATTTCTTTATTTCTTTTATCTGTATATATTATGTAAAGAAATTATATAATAAGGTGATGTCAATAAAGTAAATGAAGACCTCAAACTCAGAAAAAAAATCTCCACTTACCTAATCATGTTATCTCCCTAATTATACAACCAAAAATATCATGAGGTCAAATATTGTGCTGTGACAATGTTGCAAACCCTAATTCATGATATTATTATAAATTTAACTATTTACTATAAATTAAAATATGAATAATTGATTCATCATATATTTAATAAAAATTTTAAATATAATATACAGTATGTCTCATAATTTTTTTGAAATTAATTTTAGCATTATAATTTTATTAAAATTTATTTAAATATTATAAAAATTTGAAATAATATTGTTGAAAATTTATAGTTTAAGACTATTTAAAATTCTTTTTATACAATAAATTTTTATTTATTTTATATAACAATTAAAACTTGTTTTCTTTAATCTTTTTGTTAAAGCTTTTAATATAAGATATTTTTTATAAATACAATTGTTTGTAACATGTTTAAAAATTTTTTATAATTCTCATACATTATCAGAAATTTTAAAAACAAATATTTTTAAATAAAATTGATATTATTTTATTATTAAGTTTGCAAACAAAATAAATAAAAATTTTATAATTTTTTAATAATTTTTTTATTTAATTATAAAAGTAAAATATAAAGACAAAAATTTTTAAAAAATAATAAATTATATTATATGCAATATATATTAAAAGCTTTTAAATTTTTTTAAATTTATTTTCTGACAACAATTATCAACAACCACTACTATACGTCCAAACACTCCTCTTCCATCTCCCATTGCCTTATACTTGTGCTGGATTCTTCTCAATTATTTAAATAATGCGGCTATGTGTGTAAAGCTTCTGGTGAAGAGCAGTTGTCCCCTTCCCTACTTGCCGCAGGTGCCACAGGCCTGGGTAACCTGTAATCTGCCGCAATCCTAGAAGGGTAGAGAAGGTCAAATACTAGGTGATCAGATGAAAGGCTAATCTCTACTGGATATCCTAACCGGAGTAGCGATTACTTAACTAATTGAACAAGTTATTCAGGTGAAATGTAAAGTAGAACACATTCAGCTTGCTGTACATCAAGCTACATTTGAAAAGCAAGCTTGCCAATCCTAGTCATGACTTGGAGGCCAACCTGTATATAGTGGCTGCAGCACCTTTATGTAATTAGGTTTCAAATTTTTCTAGATAGCTAGATACCATTCAAGGCATAATATAGGTTTTGAATTTCTTTTTCTTATATTCTTAAGTGGTGCTAAGAAGCTTAGGCGGAAGGACCCTTATTGAGCCTGGCATTTAACTATTCCTGGCAAAGAGAGATATATATTACACTATTGAGTTATAAATCTTGTAATTCACAAGTCTAAAATTATAAATAAAAATAACATGTAAGGACCGCCTGTTCCTTCAAAAAAAAAAAAATTTTTTTTAAATTTAATTTAATAAATTGATTAAGCATAGTCAAGATTGCTATATAAAAGTTGATTAATATTCAGGCTTGGATTAATGTTTTTTAATTTTGATAAAAGTTTGAGTTTATTGGTTAAATCAACTCAATGCTATTCAAATAATAGTAATAGAAAGAATTAATAATTCTTTTTGAGATTTTTAATTAAAAATTGTATATTATAAGAATTCGTGATAGGGATTTAAATTTCTAGTTTGAGTTTATATTTATTAATAATTAATAGAAATGTTGAGAAAAGTTGTTCAAAAATGTATTTAATTTTAAGATTTTTAATAACTTCTTTAATACTATAAGCAGATATGTCTAGTGAAAATAAGTAGATAAATTTAGACTTTAGTTTATTATAGAAGAAGAGAAGAAAAATTTTTGAAGTAAGAAATCAAAATAGGTGAAAAGAATTTTAGAAGGAATAATAAAGAATCTTTTGGATTCCCTAATTATATTGCATAAGTTTCTAAAATCCTTTTTTCTTCTGATTGAAAAGAAATAAGTAACTTCTTTAAAAAGGTTGCTAGATTTATTAAGTAATTCTAGTAGTATAGAAACATAAAAATTTGATATAAATGGAAAGTACCTATTATGCTTATTGTAGTGCTTTTATTTAAAATTGAAATTTTATGTAAAATTTTGATCTTTACTTGTATTGAAATTAGATTTAAAAAGAGAAATAGCTCTAGTAGATTGTCTTTAAATATTTTTTTGTTCTTTTGTAATAAGTCATAATAGTTTAACTTGTTGCTTTTTCTGAAGCAACACAAAAAATTGCATTTATATTTCATAATTTGTATTAGATAATATATATTGAGATCAAGATATTAATATATCTTAAATAGACAATAAAGAAACTAATATTTATGAAAAGTTTGATTTTGAATTTAATGTTTTTATTGAGTTTTGATATTTTGTATTTTAACTTATTGTTGGTTTGAAAAACAGTAAGTCAGTCACTTCACTGATTCAAAAATAGAATTATAAAAGGTAAGTTGAGACACATAAGATTAATTTAGCTAAGGCTTCCATTATTAACAAGCTTTTCTCTTTTTTCTCAACACTAGCTCTTCTCTTGATAATTCCAAGCTATGTCTTATAACAGTGATTATCCTTCTCTATATGGTATATACTTGAAAAGATAAGTTGTTAATTACAATATTTCTTATTTGGCACTTTAATTTTACTAATCACTGTATTTATTAATCGTATTATTGTTTTATCTCTATCTTAACTACTGTTTGCTTTACAATCATATTGTTATTTATATTGTTGCTATTACTAGAAAAACAATTAAGAAAAAATAGACTATCAGAATTAGAATAAACTATAGATAAGTTATGTAAGCTTCTATAACTATATTTTTTATACTGATTATTAATGTTATTTCACATTTTCAGGATATGTGATATAGTGATCATGGTATGTGACTATGCCTTGTGACTTTTACAAGACTAACACTATAAACTCTTTTAAATTTTCTTTCAAGTTTTTTATACTCTTTTTATTGATTATTTTGAGCTCTGTTATTTTGGTGAAATTAAAGAAGCCCTTTTTTTTTAATTGCTAAGGTGAGACAACACTCTAATTTTATTAATATAGATAGTTTATTACATATGTAAATTTTTATACTATATTAATCTTATATTAACTAGAACCTACTTACAAGCTTAAATTATCTGAATATAGTTTGCATCCTGCTTGCTTACCCAAGCATTTTCCTTTTCATTTCTTTGTTTGACACTATTTTTATTTTTATCCATAATTACTATCTTCTTTTAGTTACCAAAGAATAGCTAAGGTCTTTTTTTGCTTTTCTGGTTGCCTTTCTGGAATAGTAACTAGGAAGCTGATATATTACTGGATTTGAATAGATTTTTTTATAGAAGAGATATCTTAATACCTATGGAAAAACAATTATCAATTTTTTTCATTCTTATTAAAACCAGAATTTATATATTTTTTGCTACTTCTGGTGATCAACATGTTATCAACTAGACAATCATTATGCCATAACTTTTTTTTTTTTATAATTACAATCTCAATGCCTGCAGAATCTGCATATAAATCAGCTTATATAAGAAATAACACTTTTGACAAATTATAATATTGAATACCATATTTATTCTATTCAATCATCTTCACCTGGAGTTAAACTGGTATCTTGTAATCTGACTTGTAAAGTATTAACTACTGTGCTATAGACCCACAGGTCATAGTTTAAAAAGCCTTTGTCTCTTGCTTTGAATTTAATAAATATTGTCAAATAATATTTTGTCTAACTCTTTCTCTTGGCTGTTTATTAATATCTAACAAAAGATTAACTAACTCATTTGAATTAGTTTTAATAAAAGAAAATCTTGAGATCCAATGGACAATTCTATAGTGTTCTATAATAAGTTTGTTAGAAATATTGATGTCTTCTTTATTTTCATTTTTTGTATTAATAGTTATATTATAATCTTTGATTCATGAAATCTTTAATATTAAATTCTCTTTATATCATCTAGTATTTTGATAGTTGCTTCTATTTTTTTCTTGTTGTCACTTTTATTTGGCAAACTTGGTTGTATAATTCTTAATTTTTGCTTGAAAGTATTTGTATGAATAGATAAAGAAGAACACAAT